ATCAAATGTCAGACTGCTTTTTTCTTTCAGTTTTAACCTGACTATACAAGACATAATAGATTTTCCTAACAATCAACATATACCGAACCGAACCGAACACCGTGACCACGAAACCGTGAATCGAACCGAACCGTGGATTTTGTGAACCTTCCCACCCCTAATAGATAGATCGATAGATAGATATCTCTACCTGAGCAGGTGAGTGCGGCAGCCTCCCCCGCCGGGCAGCTGGAAGCTGCTGCTGACCTCCTACAATCCCGGAGGCCGGACTCCTGCCCCTCACAGTGGAACTCTGTGGCCCCCATGGGGGCCCCCACCTCCCCATAAGGCGCCCCCTCCAGGGCCAGAGGAGGCCCACAGCCCACCTCCCTGCAGACCACCTCTGCGTCCCGCCGGTCGAAGTCCTTCGCACACACGGAGGACCAGGACTGCTCTGACCTCACCTCCAGCCGGCCTGAGCACCGGTCGGCCCCGTTCACCAGCCTCACCGAGTCTGCAGACACAAAAAAAACACCAAACATGGTTAAAACTGGTCTGATCTGGTTAAGACTGGTTTGAGCTGGTTCAAACTGGTCTTAGCTAGTTCAAACTGGTCTGAGCCAGTTGTAGCTGATCTGGTTGAAACTGGTCTGAGCTGGTTAAAGCCGGTCTGATCTGGTTTAAAATTGGTCTTTGCTGGTTAACATTGGTTTGATCTGGTTTATAACTGATCTGATCTGGTTGAAACTGGTCTGATCTGGTTGAAACTGGCCTGATTTGGTTGAAACTGGTTTGATCTGGTTTAAAACTGGTCTGAACTGGTTAAAACCTGCCTTAGCTGGTTAAGTTTGGTTTGACGAGGTTTAAAACTAGTCTGACCTTGATAAAACTGGTCTTTGGTGGTTATAGCTGCTCTGATCTGGTTGAAACTGGTCTGAGCTGGATAAGGTTGGTTTGATCTGGTTTAAAACTGGTCTTAACCGCTTAAAACTGGTCTGAACTTGTTATAACTGGTCTGAGCTGGTTGTTTTTGAGTTTTTACCTGAGCAGTTGACTTCTGTGGAAAAAGACGAAAAGCTGAGCTTTATAGGAAAATTCAGGATATCAGGTTGATCTCCCTCGGGATCAAGTTTCCAAACGTATCGATGTGCGTTCGTTCTTTTCCTGGTTGAAACGGCGGTTCCGCAGTCCAGCTGCCGACAAACCTCAACGGCAAACTCCAGCATCCAGTGGTCCGTGAAGGCTGGTTTCCACTCGTCCCAGTGCCTCATTTCCAGTATGCCGGCGCACCTGCCGCCTCCACCGGCCAATCGGAGACGGTCGTCGTCTGTAAGGGAACAAGACGCCAACCGGCTGTTAAACTGGACCCAATTAGGCCAGTGGTGGTGAAATCTGCAAGTCTTTGCTTATTAACTAATTTACCCAGACCAGAGATGTTCAGTAACAAAGTAGAGCTACTTAAGTACTGTACTTAACTCATTGGCTGCCAAAGACGTCTATAGAGGTCTTTCACGTTTTTCAGCGAGAGTGTCTGGGGGAAGATCTGCTAAAGCTTGTCCGTAAATATCGGCTTCTAGACAGAGTATGTAGTAACAAATTGACCCTCTAGGGGGCAGTGCCACTTTTGATGGGAGATGAGCATAGATTGCAGGCAAATTTTAAAAAAACGCAACGGTTCGCTATGAGAAAAATGTCGCCGGTGAGACGCACGTCGAGGAAGAACGGAATAAGGTAGAAACACATTTATTTTCCTGATGAAAGCAGAGAGTCTACTCTTTCTTTTGGTGTGTTCGGTGTTTACATAGTCATAGCACAAACTAGTCTGTGGCTCTTCAAAAATCAGTCAAAATGCTGAAAAAACTCTGGCAGTATGGGACTCTGTGTTCTGAAAATGGCTGCCAGTCAATGAGTTAAAAAAAAAACTGAACCGAATTCAGCCCCCAAAAATCCACCGGGAACTAAAGTTCTCCTTTTACCTGAGCAGGTGAGCTCCACAGCAGCGCCAGAGGAGTTGGTCACAGTTTGGCCACAGTCCAGGAGAGCGGATTCCCCTCCTCCACACTCGAACTCTGCGCTCCACTGGGGGGTTTCCGTTTCCCCGAAGAGCTCCCCCTGCTGGACTGATGGAGCCCCACAGTTAATCTGCCTGCAGACCACCTCTGCTTCCCGCTGGTCGAACCCTTTTTCGCTCACGGGGGACCAGGACTGGCCGAGCTTCACCTCCAGCCTGCCTGAACACCGGTCCGTTCCATCCACCAGCCTGACCGACTCTAAGAAAGAGGAAGAGAGGGAATATTCTCATCATCATAAGTTTAGTATTTTCCGCACAATAAGGCACCTAATAGCCTTAAAGGAGACATGTTATACCCTATTTCAACAAGTTAAGCTAGTTCCCTGGTGTCCTGATGCAATGTCTGTGACAAGCTTTGGTCAGAATCCCATAAGGATGAAGCCCAATAGCAGTTCAGTCCCCCTGCCTAACCCTAACCCTAACCCTAACCCTAACCCAAAACAGCCCCGTTCAGAGCGCTCGCTTTGGAGTGCCTGTCTCTTTAAATGCAAATGAGACACAGGCAATCCACCCACTTCTTCAGGGAGGTGTGCCCACGTTGGCACGCTAACGCCGGCTACCATGCTAACGCTACCATGCTAACTCTACCATGCTAACGCTACCATGCTAACGCTACCATGCTAACGCTCACGCTACCAGGACGTCTGCCACAGATAGTGGAGTAAGCTGAGGGGGGGGGCAACATGCAGGTGAAAGGCTGGAATATTATAATGAGCTAGAGCTAATGACGTCAGAAACTACCCACTCCTGAAACCTCCTGATTTATCTCCTGGATTCAGACTGAGTTTACTGAATGGAGGAAAAATTTCCCTCCACTACCTAGTCTGAGCTGGTTTTAGCTTGACAGAGCTAGTTTTAGCTAGTCTGAGCTGGTTTTAGCTAGTCTGAGCTAGTTTTAGGTAGGCTGACCTAGCTTGTTTTAGCTGGTCTGAGCTGGTTTTTATCTGGATTAAAGTGGTTTTAGCCGGTCTGAGCTGGTTTTTATTTGGACTAAGATGGTTTTAGCTGGCCAGGCCTCAAAAGTGACACTAAAAATGCCCAAAAGCAAAAAGAGCTTAACAAATCGTAGAGAACAGGTCACTTTAAACAAAAAATATGGAGGTTTTTAAAAACAAATTTCATAAACACATTCACTTCTTCTACAAGAAATTCCAATTCCATTTTAACAAAAGCATATTTACTTTTTAACTCATGATTTAATGCGATCTTTCTTTTAAAGCATTTCTATTTTTTATTTTCTATATAAACTTTTTCTAACTTCAGGTTCCAAAGACAAAACATGAGTAGTCATTTATTGCTAGACCCTTTGAATACGTGCCGAGTTGGTCAAAATAAAAGCGACACCGACCTGAGCAGGTGATCTCTATGGTGAAAGACTCATCCAGGATTGAATCTAAATAACCAAAATCTTTCAGTATTGAAGGCGCCGAGTCGGAGTCTGGTTCAATCCGATCTCGTCTTAAAGACTCCACGGCGCCGCAGTTCAGACGCCGGCAGGCCGCGGCCGCAGAGGTCAGGTTCCACACGTCGCCGTGAGAGTTACCCAACACTGGCTCCCAGACCCCCCGACCTTTGACCTCCAGGCGCCCGGCGCAGCGGCGGGAACCTCTGGCCAGCCGGACGTCCCCAGAAGGCTCTGAACAGACACACAAAGGCTGGATTTAGCTGGTTTGCTTGCCTGGGCTGGTTTTTTAGCTAGTTTGAGCTGGTTTTAACTGGTTCTTAGCTAATTTGAGCTGGTTTTAGCT